GGATGTGCACTGCAGAGAACAAGGAGGTCCTTTTGAAGCAGAAAAAAAGAGTCACTAAGGAAGGTGAAGGCCTGAGGTCTGGAATTGGTGCTCTGGCTGAGTCCCTTTGACCCTGGCACCATCTGGAAAGGAGGTTTAAGGCACTGCTGGGTACCCGGTCAGTGTGCACGCTCCTGTTGTTCTCCTGCTTTCCAAATTCTTGTTGAAACCTGTAAACAGAGCAGCCTTCTCTGCCAGCTCTGGTCTTTTTGCTCGTTCTTAAGCAAAGCTCCTCCTGGAGGCTGCTGCCTCGTCACGGCGCTCCAGGACCAGGCTGCACCGACCCGTGAAGCGATATTGAAGGGCTCATCTTCCAGGCCGCAGGGAAAACCGGTCCCGTGGAGACCACAACCCCTCCGGACACAGTCCTGCTGCCATCGATGACGACTTCAAACTCTCTCTCTCTGTGTTTGCAGGCAAAAATGTCAAGGCCGGTGCAAGCTCAGAGGCTGGAGGGAGTGGATCAGAACATCTGGTGAGTTGACCCGCTGCCCCTGGTCATGTCCCCTGCGAGGGGAGCCCCTGCGAGCACCGGCGCTCTCACCCTTTCCTCTCCGCAGGGTGGAGTTCGTGAAGCTGGCGGCCACCTACGCCACCGTGAACCTGGGCCAGGGCTTCCACGACTTCCCCCCGCCGGCCTTCCTGAGGGAGGCGTTCGTGAGGGCCGTCGGCGGCGACAACCACATGCTGCACCAGTACACCCGGGCCTTCGTGCGTGGCGCTCCCGGCCCGTGCTCGCGTGGGCGCCTGGGCTGTCTCCAGCCTGGAGCCCCCAGCCTCCCTGCTGGGGAGTGGATAGCCCCAGATCCCACGTGCCGGGGATGGGGAGCTGGAAAAGGGTGGCAGGAACATCCTCCGGCTCTGTGCACAGCTGGTGGCCCCCAAGCAAATCCCAGCTGCAGCCCCAAGTGCACGGGAATGCATCCACAAGGCACCAGAGGTGTCCAGGCTGGAGGACACCCCAGACGCTCAGCAATGGGGCACTCGCTGCCCAAACCCCTCCAAAGGGCTTGTCCGTGTTCCCCAAGCCCAGCCAGCCCCTCTTGCCCCCCAGGGCCACCCTCCGCTGGTGAAGATCCTAGCCGAGTTTTTTGGGAAGCTGCTTGGGCAGGAGCTGGACCCTCTGGACAATGTGATGGTGACCGTGGGGGCCTACCAGGCCCTTTTCTGCTGCTTCCAGGCCCTTGTGGATGAAGGCGACGAGGTGAGGGAGGATTTGGGCTTGCTGCATGGGCAGCCTTTGCCCCAGAGAGCCCCTCCTGGCCCTGGCTCTGCTCAGGGCTGCGGGTGGGTTTTCAGAGTCCTTCTGCAGAACACAGAAGGTTTAGCATATCCTCATCATTCCTCCCTGTTACTGTAGTGCAGGAGCTCCCTTTTTCCAGGAATTGAGGGATTAAAATTGCCTGGCCCTGCCATCCCACTAGGGCTGAGCGGGCCCAGGAGGGCACTGAGGTGCCTCTTCCCCCAGGTGATAATCATCGAGCCCTTCTTCGACTGCTACGAGCCCATGGTGAAGATGGCCGGTGGGACGCCCGTGTTCGTCCCGCTGAGACCGGTGAGCGGGTCGGAGCGGAGCCGCCGAGGCGAGGAGCAGAGCGGCCCAGCTGGGCCCGGAGCCGCTTGCAGAAACCACCATTTCCTCTCTGTGCTCTCCAGAAAGTGCTGGGAGCTGGAAAACCGATGTCCAGCGCGGACTGGCAGCTGGACCCGGCCGAACTGGCTTCCAAGTTTGGCGAGCGGACTAAAGCCCTCGTCCTGAACTCGCCCAACAACCCGCTGGGCAAGGTGAGGCCGGGGGCTCCAGGACGCTCGCGGGTGTGGGGTGCACGGTGCTCTCCTGGGCACGAAGCCTGGTCCTGCCAGGCTTTGCCCCAGGAGATGGTTCTGGCCGTGTGTGTCCCCATCCCACGATGTCCCCTGCCCCGTGCAGGTGTTCAGCCGGGAGGAGCTGCAGCTCATTGCGGAGCTGTGTGTAAAGCACGACGTCCTGTGCACCAGCGACGAAGTGTACGAGTGGCTGGTCTTCGATGGGAAGGAGCACGTCCGCATCGGTACGTCTTCGAGAGCCCGGGTGGCCCCGCCAAGTCACCGTCCCCTTGTGGCCCCTGTCCTAGACTCCCTTGGCCTCCAAACTGGGTCTTAAACTTGAGCCCCACCTTCCAGAGCCAGGGAAAAAGGGAGCTGGTGTCAGTGTGACACATCCAGAGTGCAGAACCCTGTGGCCCCAGTGACATTTTTGTAAAACCACATTATTTTTTGTGAACATCTCTATTTTGGGACCTCCATTTCAGCGTGATTGAGGCCCATTCTTCCTGTTGCAGTAGGAGCAGGAGGGTGATGGTGCTCGGCACATCGCCGGACTTGCCACACAGTTATCGAGATGTTCAGCTGCAGAAAGTTACTTTGGAAAAACCCCTCCGCTTGCTCGCAATGCGCTTGGAGGCTGTGGAGGGCAGCGAGCCCCCAACATGGCGCTGAGGCAGCGCAAATGCAACCGCCCTGAGCTCTGCCCTCACTTTTTCTCCCCTTTTTCCCTGCCAGCCAGCCTGCCGGGCATGTGGGAGCGCACCATCAGCATCGGCAGCGCCGGGAAAACCTTCAGCGCCACGGGATGGAAGGTGAGTGCCCCTCATGGCGCTGGCGAGCAGCCAAGCACGTAGCTTCTCCGTGACTCAGTGCCTTCCTCCTCGTCCTCGTCCTCGGTCGGGCAGGTGGGCTGGACGGTGGGGCCGCCGCGGCTGCTGCAGCACCTGCGCAC